GGAAGAAAAACCTGCTGAACACACAACATATAAACAGGGACATAATGATTGGTGAACTAATAACTAGCAAGAAAACATAGCTACTTTGCAATTCCAATGATGACACATTTGGAGACCAAACATCCACATGCCCCAAATAATAGCAGCAATGGAAAGTGTAGAAACATGTTTGCAGACAATTTATAGGGAAAATGTATGGAAGTCATGTTAGACCAGACCCAGTTAGAGCAACAGAATTACTTACATCCCCTTCTTGGGCAAGGCGTTTAAGTAAGGAAAATGTATCGTGGTTATCCTCCAAATTGTCGAGAAGAGCAAGCCAAATCCGAGAACCAAGTTCGTGGGCAACGTCTCTTGACTTGCCACAAGCAATGAACTGATCTGCTTAATAAATACTCAAACAATTGTTATGTCATGTCATGTCATCAACAACCATGAAAGTGGAATAATAATAATAATACTTACCAATAATTGTTCCATGAAGTATTCCACTATGAGGTGGCATAATGGAGAGTTGAAGTTGATCTTTCAAGAAGAGATAAGTGTGACCAACGATTTCGTCTACTTGAAGGTTGGAAGAGAAGATGTGTTGACTAATGTATAAGGCAATGAATCTCCTCTTGGAGTTGGGTTGAGGAGGAGGAGAAATAGGGCCAGGCCATGTTTGAGGCAGTGCAAGTGCTTGTGGATAATTATGGGCAAGAGCAGCTTGCCAGAACCATTCACACCGGAAAAGAGAAGCCCACTGCTTCTTCACACAGCATATCTGTGACCACTCCTTCACCCCTGCTCTCACCAATATCTCTATCAACACATCATCGGGAACCTTCCCAATCTCTTCATCACTCTTCCTTGAATTCTTATTCTCCATACTCTACCAAACAATTTCTCTTGCCCTGGGTTGTGTCGTACCGTAAACAATTACGTGTCCCATACTATTATTATATTATCTTTTCATTATTTCACCTAACCACCTAATATTTTTTCATTACATAACCAATCAAACGCCTCCACGTCAGGATTCGTAGAACGTAGTCCTTCACTGTGAATATGAAATATCTTATATCTAGGCAAAATTGACAAGACAAAAATTTACTATATTCACAGGTCCACAAGTTCTGTTCTGCCCATCCTATTCCCATCACCATCCTAAAAATAAAATGTATTTCACCGGGTCACTCTCACCATTAAATTCCAATTTATTTTCGCCTTTATATCTATTCTGGATCCATCTAATTTCCATTTGGGCCTCAGCTTAATCCTATCCTCCAAGGGAGGGGACTCAGTCCCATAAATGGATTCACTATATACAGAAAATAATACATGTTTTGTTTGAAACAAAACGAAGCTAATTATTTGAGATTAATTATTCTCCCTCTCCTGTTTCTAGTTATGTTTAAATGGTGCTTTCTTTGACTTGCTGTTTCAAAATGACAAAATTTATATACAATTAAATAATTTTTATACTCAATTAGACTTGAAATTTCACGCATACTTTTTTAATTAAAACCTTTATAGGCAAGATTGTCAAAATAAAACTAATTATAATTATAAAAATAAAAATAAAAAATAAAAACACCTATATATATAGAACTGTAGATAAATTTTGTCAAATTTGAATTTGAACATCTATTAGCTACGAAGCTGATTGATACACTCTCAAGAGTATCAACAACTGAAACAAGTTTTATTAATTTTCTTCTCCCAATAACATACCAACCTAATCTACAAATATTACTATCGATGAGTTAAAAATAACCTGATAAGATCCTAACAGAAGATATAATACTGTTTATCCTATGCTATATAAAAAGAATTATAAGACTCCTACACTGCATATCTCTTCCAACACGTTGTATGACTTATATTAACATCTACAATTCTACGCTGAACACATGCAGTCTCTTACTTTGCCAATATATTACGAAATCAATAGAAACTACGCAAACATACATAAACAACACCAAAAAAAAAAAAAAAAAAAAAAAAAAAAAAAAAAAAAACACAGTTCAAATGAAATTAACACAACAATTGCATATAATAGCCTTCTTCAATAAGCTGAACTTCTTATGTGCTAATGCCTCTCATCAATTTCTTGCTCTCTCCATGGGGCCACTTCCATAAACAAGGGCTCGTTGAAACAGTACAAGTTTTAGCTACTGATCAATGGGATCGTCAGTAGAGAGATTGGGCTCTTGTGAAAACAAATACCCCTCCTCCACCAACAGCACGACCCAAAAGCATATTATCATCCAAATAACTAAGGTAATATAGTCCTCCTACTGATTCCCTACAATTAAAAAAATAAAGGCATCACATTCGTTTTTGTCCAAAAAAACACACGAACTACTTCAACAAAGTAGCCCATGACATACCTTCCTGGATCCCTCACAGGGATTTCAGCTTTGAAAGTTCTAAGAAATTGCAAAATCTGCAAGAGAAAAAGCACAGTTTTATTTAACTTATAAACAATGTGTGTGTGTGTCTCTCTCTAAAAACAAAATAAGTAAGCTAACCATTATGACATAAATAGCTGGTCAGCACTAGTTCATATTAGGTCATTCACATATAGTATGCCACTAAATTTTGGAGTAAAAACATAAGTTACTGGTTTCAATGGTATCCTCATATCCTATGCCGGTAATAGAGCGCATTCAAATTAACATCCAAATACAGCCATAACTTAAGGTTGAATTACCTGAAGACTTATAAAAGATCGCGGTAGTATTGCTGGAGCTATTAGAGCCTGCAGCTCTTCACTGATATTTATATCTTGAACTGTGATCTGTCAGGTATAAATTGCATGTTCATCTAATGCTACAGCAGCATCATACCAAATAAAGAAGGAAACATTAATAATACCAAGTAAACAGCAATCTTTTCTTGATATTAGATAATGCAGAAGTAGCCTAGCATTTCATTGAACTCTGGCACTTTCTTTAGGAATAAATAGTAATGCATAAATCACATAAAAAAATTATAAATGAAGCATGGAAAAATGTTTCAACTTATAGTGAAGACCATTGATGAAATTAAATGTGGGTGCTCAATCCAACCTTTGGAGTTTGGACCAATCTTTTTTCAACTATAAAGGAGAAATTATGTATTATGTCCTAAATAAACCCAGCATCTGTTTAGATAAATATTGCACCTCAACTATAGAAGAAAGGATGCTCATTTAAATGAAAATGATTACCTCTTGAAACTGAAGGTAGATATTACGGACAGATACAACAGTAAACTTGGCAGATACAAGCAGTGTAGCACCTTCTTCTTCCTATATGAAGAATGTCAAGAAGTTGTTCATTTTAGGTTCACGGACAGAGCAACAAAGCACGAGTTTAAATATTTCAATTTCATCAATTTTTATTTTTCCATCCAATTAACTTTGGGCTAGGTGTTAGCAAGAGAGCATTATATGCAATTCCTAGAAACAAAGAGACTAGCTCTAGACTAATAAGATTGCCTGTTTCCCACACATTTGAACACATCACGCACCATAATATTTAGAGTTTGCGTGCAAATCATGGGTCTTTAACTTACCCAATGGACCTACTGCACAAAGGTTAAAACCATTAATGCACGAGTCATGTTCAAAGAGAATGAGCAAAAAGCCAAAAAAAAAAAAAAAAGTTCAGATGTTCTTAATCCATTTTTTAATTTTTCTTTTTCCCCCTGGCATGAATTATACCTTCATTGCACCCTCATTAAAAGAAATCCTTTCTGCAATGAATATTCTAGGAATAGTAAGTAAAATTTCCAATTATATAAAAGAAAGTAGCAGTAGTAGCAGGAATACAAAATACAAATTGTTTTTCCACCCTGAATTCCAAGAGAACATGTTCAAGAATCAGGTAAGTAGAATAATCTAGTTAATCTCTTTATAATATTGTAGAAATAGAAAGGAAATAAATTATTGACAAGTGAAGTGTGATCGGAATAAGTTAGTGAAACTGAAAAGAAAATTCAGAATTCAGTGTCTGAACTCTGAATGCAAGGAGTTAGGAGTTTCCTATGTATGTTTGATGAAGTTGGTTGCAGGGTCCTAAGAAGAAAGAAAGTTGGTTTACCTCTAGCAAAGTTGGAATACTCCATCGGACAACATTGCGGATAACACCTCCATTAGATTGATCAAGACATTCAAATTTCTGAAAGATCTGTCCAACCTATCTCAACATGGAAGCAAATGAAGTAATAAAATGGTAAGAGAAGAAGGGGAAAAAAGAATAATAATAATAGTTGTGGGTACTTGAGGAGGGAAGGTAAAGGTTGTCTTGTGAAGAAAGTATAAAGCGTAGTAGTACTTGAAAGAAAGGGAGTGTAGCAGCAGCTTGGAAGAGAATGAGGACATCAGGGGCAGAAGTATACTGAAGGCGCCATGTTCCATCCAGCTTGGCCAAATGGATTGGGTCACCATTATTGTAGCCTTCCACACTCACCTGCCATTTAGTAATTCTAAGTAATAAACTAATTAATTAAGTAAAGTGTGAAGTAGAAAAGCAGAGCAGACCAGAGCCTCCTCGATTGAAGAGCGTTGATCGGGAGTTGTTAAGAGGCCCCTTTGAGTGTCTCGGACAGAGGTCAACAATTGATGCTTTTTCTTCTCTAACTCAGAATCATATGCCTTAAATAGTTAAACAAAATAAAATTGCTTGGTAACCAATAACAGCTAACTTAACGCACGGATGGAAAGAGTAAGAGTAAGACGAACCAGAGCAGAAGGCAAAGAGAAGTTGGTGAAAGTGAAAGGCTTATGAGAATTGGACCTTCTCAGTCTCAGAGATGGTGATGGAAAAAAGGGTGAATGGAAAGCCAAGTCCATTCCCGCCCGCACTCCCATAAACAAATCTATCTTCACACAACACAATAATTTCCGAGTAAATCCAGAATCAATTACCTTACCCTTGTTACTTGTTACTTCTTAATTGCCCACTGCCTGCTTCGCCTCTCCTCGCCTTCCACATACCCGCACTATTTCATTCATAGATAGGGAATGCAAGGTACAAAACAATTTTCTGTATTCCTTTCTCCTTTTCTATTTCTCACAAGACAAAATTGCTTCCCTTTTTTTTAATTTTCCCTTTTAACATATTTATTTCTATTTTAATATATTCCTTATTTTTATATTTAACGGTATAATTAACAAAATAATATTATTTTAAAATTTTAAAATGACTTAATAATTAGAGAAATAAAATTCTTATAATTATCAATATTTTAAAAATTAGACATGTTATTTGATTTAAATGGCTTTGGAAAATGCCCAACAAAATGAATCAAATTCTACCTAAATCATTGATTAAATTATTTGCCTAACCATATATGTTTAAATCAGGTTTGCGACTTAAAAGATAACAACAATGGAACCTTTGGGATTTAAGATAAATATATAAAGACTTTAAATTCAACCGAGTTATCATCGTTGTAATTTTCTTATTGATTAAAAGATAACGACAATGAGTAGAAAGTATAAACTTGATTCAGTTAAGATGATAATGATAACGATTCATGACTACTTATCAATTGGCTACAAAGGGTAAAAAGTATGGAGGCTCGCATAATTTTTCCAAGCAAATAAGACCCCGAAAATTGATCGGACATGCAAGCCTAACCTTCCCAGGTCAATTAAGAAAACATGTATGCTAAAAATAGAACCATAAATACCATAGCCACCCTGAACTGTCGAGTTTAACACAGATCATCCATGTCCAAAATACAGTCTACAAGGTGAGTAAGCTCTGGCTACCATAATTTTAGTCTTGTTAAAAAAAAATGCTTTTGACATAACATCCTTGTAGTGATTTTCACTAGTTTAGACTACGTTGTGATCTTTAATATAAATCCCTTTTAAAAGTACTCTATATAAATGCAGCGTGCAGTCCGAGGACACAGACAAAGAAGAAATCAACGGGAAAGAATCATGATTTGGTACATAACTTCGTCAACTTAATCAAAACAAAAGCCAGTGCCACTGTAAATTGAAACAACCCTAAGGCGTGTTCGCTGCCCATCTTTGCAGGACAATGTGCACCAGAAACATGAAATAAAAATTATTTCCACAACTTCCGCAATGACATGTTTTTTTCGGTCTCCTTTTTCATCACCTTGGCCACAGCCATCTCGAAATCCTCCTGAGTCACATGTACCCTCCTTTCCCTCAAAGCAAACATTCCAGCTTCAGTGCACACAGCCTGCATACGAGGAATAAAATTTGAGCATCAGTCAGGCTATGATACACTTAAATAATGCATTCATGCAAGCTAACAACATCCACGTTGTGGCTTACTTCTTTTATTACTTCATCAGTTCTACTAGCATTACAGAATTTGCTGATATTTTAATGGATTCTCTTTGTCAAATTGTAATAAAATCTCCTCACTGTTATATAAAGGCTCCATATCATGCGTCACACGTCAAATATCTAAACTAAGTATATTATTAACCCATTCATAAAAAAACTCCCAATCAGAATATAGTTCACTTTTGCTATACTGTGTTTCCTTGTATTGATATGTCCATCTGAGCACAGTTTACTCATTCTGTATTGTCTGTCTTGTTAGGCTCCACATTCTGAAATACACACTCTGATGAGACATTCAACGCTTGTTAATTGTTTCTGTTGCACCAATATATTAATTTTGTCTCTTGATAATAAAAAATTCAGAGCAGACTAAATTTGATCAAGCCATTCTAAGTAATATTATTGGGAAGTAAGCATGAACTAGTTTTCAGTGGCACAACTCCCCTCTTCATCATTTGCCTCCATTGCCAATGCTCTCTTGGAACTTAAATTTTATTTACTCCAACTCTCAAAGGAACTTACCTATATCACCCAATTACTGAGGTAGTTCTTTTACACTTTTTACTACCAAAACACTTTATTTGCCTTGTGACACAAAATAATTTCTTGAACAATAATCCAGATTTTAATGCTAACTTGGTAGTCAACCCAATTCATTACATTGTAGAATTTCTCTAAGGCCTTTCCCATAAAGAATGTGACACATTATATGAAAATGATGGCATCCATCATTTCGATAGTATAACCAGAGGGTAATAACTCATAAAAGCAAAGGAGTTCCACAATTCCACCACAAATTACTTCAATGAGGACAATTGCAAGTACAATTTCAGAGCAGATGGAAAAACTAAACATGATGCAAATGAAGAAAAATACCTTAAGTTCAGCACCAGATGCTCCATTCATCTTCTCAGCAATCTTCTTCAAATCTATGCCCCGCATTAAATTCATTCTTCTTGAATGGATTTTCAAAATATCTAGCCGAGACTGCATAAAAGATATTTATTTTCAGGAATGTCGGTTATGCAGGCATCAGATCATATGCATCTTCTGACCCAGTACAAATATATTAATGAGTAACATCAACGGAAACACACAAACCTCTTCATTAGGATTAGGAAATTCAATCTTCCTGTCAATCCGCCCAGGTCTAAGGAGAGCTTGATCCAGGATATCAATCCGATTTGTGGCCATCAAAACCTACAGTTGAAAATTTATCTTCAGAACCTCCACACAAAAAAAGAATGTGAACTGATCTCAAATGAGTTGGATAGAGAAATAATATCTGTTATGTGCAACTGTTACATATTTCTTCTTATAACTGTATAGCTTCATTACCTTGATCTTATTTGAAGCTTCAAATCCATCCAACTGGTTGAGAAGTTCCAGCATAGTACGTTGTACCTCACTATCACCATTGCCACTTCCAGATTCCATCCGGGCAGATCCAATACTGTCAATTTCATCCATGAAGATAATTGATGGAGCATGTTCCCTGTGAAGAAAAAAAGTATACCATAATAACATTTGTACATAATAATGGGTAGGAAAGTCCTCAGACAATATAAACATGGAAATTGACGAATCAAACAAGTTAAGCACAACTCCTTTAGGGGAATAAAAATCCCCATCTTTGCCTTTTCAAGTGCAATTAGTGGAAATTGCCAAAAGGACTTAACATTCACACCAAACTCCAGTCACACGTGATACATTGTATGCATCTAATACCAAAATTGACAATCGAAGTCTCAGAAACTACAGATATATGTTTGCCATATGTTGAGTTAACTCATAATCTCTTACAAAGATCTTCAACTCACAAAGTCATCTAGACATTGTTCTTATCTTTCTATTCTATTTTGGTATAGGGAAAACAGATAATGAACAGAGAAAGCTGAGTAAAGAGAACAAACCTGGCCATAACAAAAAGTTCCCTGACCATTCTAGAACCTTCTCCAATGTATTTCTGAACTAATTCAGAACCAGACACCCTGATGAATGTACAATCAGTATGATGTGCCACTGCCCTAGCCAACAATGTTTTTCCTGTACCAGGTGGCCCATAGAGCAGGACACCCTGTGATGTGTTCAAGAGATTCAGCAAACAGAAAAATAGCATCCAAGTATGCTGGTGGAATGAAAGAAAAATCTATAGACAACCCCAAAATGAGACACTACCTTTGGTTGTGCAATTCCAAGACTCTCAAAAAGCTCGGGATGTTTAATGGGAAGCTCAATGACCTGCACATTTATTTAATCACAAACATGAGGTCCAAAAATGATACTCGTGTTTTCTAATGTATTATACTACACTATAATATACATATACATTGATAAATATGTGCATACAAAAATGAACAGAAAGGAGTGATGCATGGACAGCCACAAGGATAGGTAGAAATATCTAAAGTCCTGACAGATAGTGAACTTTAAATGTTAATATTAAAAGAGTGTCAACCATTGTACCTCTTTAATTTCTTTGATTTGCTGGTCTAAACCACCAATCATGTCATATGTAGAATCAGGAACTTTCTCAACTTTCATCAGATTGACCAATGGATCCACTTTACTTGGCAGAATTAAATGAAGAACGTAGCTGTCATTTCTAAGGGCAACCCGGGTGGATGGAGTAATCTTTGTAATGTCAATATTTTTGTCAATATCAACAACATACTTTCCTTCTGGATGCACCTGAAGAAAAGTAAAGGAAAACTCAGTAATTGGCCTTGGTTTTTATCCTCTTTTATCAATGTCAGGTACAGATAAACATTCCAAAACATGACATGAAGTCTAGAGATTTTGACTAACAGGGGAAAATAATAATGGAATGTAGTTTGATACATCATCAGAATGGCGTGCTTTTTCATAGTTAAACATTGATTATTAAACCACCCAACACCCCTTGAGAGCAGAAAATGTTTGCAAGCAAGCAAGACTAGAATGCATAATCCAAACATACCAAATATTGTAATATAGGCTAGAAAACAGGTAGTCGTATATATAGATCAATAAATAAAAATAGATGAAACACTGAAATGATTAGATCCGACTAAACACATGTGTCCTATACGCAGTATTCAGGTGCTTGAAGTAAATGAAATGATTTAATAAAATAGAGTGCAAAATAAAAGAATACTTATATCTACAGTCTACAGCAAAAGATTGCACATAATTGGAGTGTATTGAACAATGAGTAGCTGAAGTGAAAGAACAAGAGACATGTGAAGCCAAACAAGTGATTTTGAAAAAGTAAAGAGAATGGAGCAAGCGGTGACCTTGACGAGGACTTTGTTTTTCCCCATGACTTTTACGACTTCACCAACATAAGAGCCAGGCTCCTGAAGAAGCTGAAGTTCTTCACGGAGCATCCTCACTGTCGAAATTGAAGAATTGAATTGAATAAAGGCAGTGAAAAAAAGGAAACAGAAAGGTGGTTAGGGTTAGGGTTAGGGTTAGGGTTAGCGAACCCCTGGAATTAAGCTCGTTTCGCTGAGCCTCGAGACGGTTGAGATTATGCGTCTTTTGGCGGAGGAGGAGCTGATGCTCGTGGATGTGGAGAGCATAGTACTGGCGGAGCCCCTCGCCTTGCTTGGTAGGCTTGGCGGAGCAATTCTCCTCCGGTGCACTCTCTGCGTGCTTCAATTCTACTCCGACGGCCGCCATAGATTTGATCGATTTCAATTCAATTTCTCGATGGAGATCGATCTATCCCTTCCTTCTATTCTATATTCAATCAAAGCAGAAGCATCCCAAACCTCCCTCCTTTTGGGTTAGGTCGGTAT